ATCCAGCACCTTGTCTTCTTTCAGCCTCTTTTTTTAATTGCTTTTGATTTTTCTAAGCAGTGTCTTCTCCAGTGACTCTTGCCTTTACATTATGTATCCCAAATATTTAAACTTTAGCTTCATTATTAATGCTTCTAGTAACCAATACGGTTTTAAGTCTAGTTTTGAATGACTTGTTCTTCTTGTTGTCCTAGGCAATTGCAACAATTTTCTCTAGGACCACTATTCAAAGCATCTTTTGGGGGAGGGGTTATTTGTTTTGTTCAGGGTCAAGCTTTCACAGCTGTATGTTACAAGTGAAAAACAAACATGGTCTTGACAACATGTACCTATGAATATAGAGGAGCATTAAAAATGGCATATCAATAAATAGAGTGTGGGTGGGGATGCATAGAGCACCTGTTGGCATCTTCTTCAATTAAACACACACTTTTCCTAAGATTGCCTGATTGTACTAGCCATGCAAGTACAACAAAAGACACAACTTCTTTAAGAATTGCAAAACACTCCCACATGCTTCAAATCCCCGTTTCACTTTTGAATTTGAATTGCTGAATGCATAATGCAAGCTTACACATACATATAGTGCTGCATAACACTTTACTGAAAGGAGCTTCCCAAATTACGTCTACGTTCATTTATTAAAGTATTTATGAAACATTTTCAAGCTAAAGAATTTAATTATAGCAATTGTGGCATCCATTTTGGCAATCCCATTCCGTGGTGCTTTGTGAATCTCACTGCAATGGGCTGTTTTCATATTCTAAGGCAAAAGTGATGATGAAGCAAGCTTGTGCAAAATAGAAGACATTGGGAAAGCGTCTGAAGAGATCAGGGATCTTAAACGACCTAAGCGGCCCCGGACCATCCTAACAACGCAGCAGCGCCGAGCATTCAAAGCATCATTTGAAGTATCTTCTAAGCCATGTAGGAAGGTATATTTTAATAATTAGAAGACACTGGAATCATGTATGTAGGAACTGCAGTGGTTGGCTGGTTTTTACTAACTAAGGTCTTTGTTTCTAGAGATTCCTGTTTTTGTAACTCATGCATATTGTGATCCAAAGGCAATATTTTTAATTTATATTTCTAATTTAATTTATAAGGGCTACCCCATTCAGCACAGACTCTGGGCAATATGCAGTTAAACCTAATACAGTGCCTAAAAAACAGAAAAAAATCCATAATGTTTAACCTGCTCAAAACTCAACTGAGTCTGGTTGGGGTTGACTTTGAACCTATTCCTCCCCATTCATACCTGAACAGCCTCCAGACACTGGGACCTGACCTTGGGAGCCTCACTTGGTTGAGCAGTAGTTGAAATATAATATAATCAGCGTACTGATGGTATCTGGCCCCATGTTGACAGATGATCTCATCCAAAGGTTTCACAAAGATGTTAAAAGGAAAGATGAGAGCGTCAAACCCTGAAGCACCCCACAAACCAAGGGCTTTTGCTCAGATCTCTCCCAATTTGCCAACACCTAACTGAAACTGCCCATGGAGAAAGGAGGAGAACTACCATAATACTGTGTTACCACTCTCAAATTCTCAAACAAGATTACCATGATTAATGGTACTGAAAGCTGCTGAGAGATCAAGTAGAACTAGGACAGTCACACCACCTCTGTCCTGGCTCCACAAGAGGTCATTAAAAAAAATGCAGTAAGTGCTGTCTCCATACTATGTCTAGTCTGAAACCCAACCGAAATGGGTCTAGATTTTCTGCTTAGATATACTAATTCCTGCACAATCCTCTGGAGCTGCAGCCTGACTGCCTTCTCCTCAACCTTACCTAGAAAGATTGGAGACTGGATGAAAATAGAACCAGTGATGGCTTCTTGAGGAGGGGATGCAATCATCCCCTCTCTCAAGAATGAATTTAGCACCTCATGGACCCAACCATATATCACTTCCTGGGAGGCCTTAAATAAACAGGAGGGGCATAGATCTAATAAACAGGGCCTTACTAACTGTCTCAAGGAGCCTGTCTACTTCCTCGGGAGTTATAGGATCAAACACTTCCAGTGTAACCAAACAAGACTGTGCCTTGGTCATCTCAACAGTCAGAGCCTGAGTCATTTCAGTAAGTCAGAGTCTCAGCAACTTCATGTGCAAAATGTCTAGAATATACGTCATAGCTGCCCTCTGACCCATCCCTCCCCAACAGGATTCAGGTCAGTTTAAACAGTGCGGCCAGTGGCCAGTTATCTGCAGACATGATAAGAGTGGAAAAATAATTAAGTTTTGCCACTCTTCCTGCTATAATGTAATGCCTAATATGCGTTCCTACATGTGCTCAGTCAGATTAATTCTTCATCTTTCTCCAACAGTGCACTAGGTCTGTCTTCTGTCATTTCATCTCCCAGAGTTCCTCAGAAAAGCAAGGAGCTGCACAGGAGCAACACAGTCCAAGTCCCTTGTCATACATCCATTTCAGGCAGAGACTAAGGCCTCAGTTGAACTGCCCACCAAATTCAAAGGAAAACCCCCAAGCTCCTTCTGAAACCCATCCAGGTCCATTGGTCTAGGGCAGTCCAATCAAATAGGTTCTCTCTCCCTGCTGGGGGGAGGGGCAGACCCATAAGCTGAAAAGCAATCAGAGTGTGATCTGACCATAGCAGAGGACCAGTAACACTGACCTCTACTTTAGAACAAATTGCAGTTGCCTGAGACAAAAAACAGATCAAGCATATGACCAGTTGTGTTCACTGAGCTCTGAATAATTTGGGTCAGGTCCATGGTTCTCGCGATGGTCATGAACTCTTGAGTCACACCAGACTCTACACCACATGAGAGGAGGTTAAAATTTCTAAAACTGTCAGTCTTGGAGACTCCACTGCCAACTCAGCAACAGAGTCAGGCAATGCAGCAGAGAGGCCAGTTCAGTAGCAGGAAACCCATCTTCAGCCCAACTTAAACCAGAGGGTCCACATCTGGTTATATGCAGTACAGAGCCTCTGAAAGCCATTAAGCAGCTGTCACCTTACCCCACCCTCTGGATCCATGGCTTGTGCCAATCCCAAATATCAGGTGGGCAAATTTCAGGGAGGGGTCATCTCTCCTCTAATCCCACCCATATAAACCACCCAGGTCTCAGTCATATATAACAGGTAAATTGCCTCGTCCATTATAAGATCATGGACGAGGGAGTCTTATTACACACCAACCTGGCATTTAACGCCACCAGCTGGAGACCAGAACCACTGAGATCTAATGGCCTGGCAACAGGGTGAATGCTGGGAACCAGAAGGTGAAATCAATAACAAACATTGCCTTCCCTGTGTATAGCCCACTCCCAGCTCCCTGCCATATCGCCCTCTGCCCATTGCCACTCAGATGGAACTGCCTGCCCTATTCCCTCTGTCAGTCCCCAACCCCACCCCTTCTCCCCCAATTTCTGGGAACTATCCAACTTAAACATCCTCAACAACCCACAATTATTCTCAGCCTACGATCAATCACAGCAAGGTCCCATGGTGCTTCTACCGTAGTACGTTCAGTAGGCACAGGGAAGCCAGGTTCTTACAAAGGCTGCCCACACACTCTTATTACCGCCCTACATATCTCTAACACCCTTGCTAGCCCCCAATTCCAGCAGTATTACCAGCTGAAATAATACAGTATTAAGCCATATATTCAAGTCTGCAATACGAAACTAGTCCAAGATCTTAACCTTTCAGTCAGGAATTGCATGAGCAGTCCAGCAGGAAAGCTTTTCAAGCAGTCAAATGGAAAGTGTTGCCCAGAGTGGCACCTGTGGGCAGAAACCATAAGGCAGGCTTAAAGAGGCCTATGCTCAGGCAGCTGCAGAGCTCAGACAAATCTGACACTTGCACTCTCACCCAACTCAGCATCCACTACCTTGTCTCCTCACCACAACACCATAAGCTGCTCCAGCCACCAGCTTCTCTGCCAGCACAACTCCTCCTAGTCAACTGTACTACTCAAAGTAGATTTTGAGTAGGCTTCCAACAGCACAATGAACTGGGCCTCCACCTTCCCAGGTGGAAATCTGCTGAGCACATCCAAAATAGAAATGCAAGGGTCAGTCTCTTCACCACCAGAAGGCCATTGACTTGCTCCTCTCACTTCTTTGCAGCTTGCTGCCTGTTCTCACTCTTCTGCTCCAAAACCTCCAGTTCTGACTGGAGGAAACTCCAACACCAGAACAAATAAAACCTAAGATCCAACAAATCTTCCCAAAACATAAAAACAAACTTTAAAAATCCAACCACTCTCATGCCAAACGCTAACATTCAAACACTCCCTCCCCACATCGCTATCTTGAAAGAAAAATCAGGAAAAAATATTCTGTTGATGGCAAATGCTGATCCACTAATCAGAATGGGATCCATCAGTCATAGCTTATGTTTTTCTAGAGTCTAGATCACAGTTACTTTGCATGCAGTAAAATATACAGTATCTTTCAGAGCCCCCAGCAGATCATTGTAGACAGCTAAAGAGCTGTTATGAATTGAACAGAACTGCTGTGGTCAAATGTCTCATCTACAAAGAAAAATTAAGGCATTGTGGAACTTTTACATTTATTTTTTAAACTTAAAGTGAGCACACATTTATAAAACCATCTTGCCATTTATATTTTGAGAGGCCTTGCAATGTATTTGGAAATTTTGAAATTCTGGCACATTGAAAGCTGAAAATAACATGCTGACAACTAGACATATTGTGCATTTTGCCGATCATTTGTTTGTGATGCTGAAAATAAATGTTCTGCATTTCCTAAAGGTAAGAGAAACATTAGCAGCTGAGACGGGTCTTAGTGTCCGAGTGGTACAGGTCTGGTTCCAGAATCAAAGAGCTAAGGTAATAACTTTTTTTTTAAATATTATGACATTCACTAGGAGGAGGAGTGCCTATCTACATCAGCCGTGTTAACCCTCTCCTCAGCAGTATCAGAAACTAATGGAGTAGAGTTCCATTACGTATTTCTCAGACTGACAATTCAGTCACCGTATCAAGCAGAATGCTTAATATGCACAGGAAAAACACTGGCTTTCCACATTCTCAAAACATCAGCATAACGTTACTAACACCTTTATGGTAAGCTCATTTTTTTTTATAAAACTATCATTTTTGTCAATATTTTAATAAAATGCCTTTCCAGCTCTAACTCTAAAAAAGAATATTTGTGAAATACTTCTAAAATAAAAGAATATCTAGCGCTATATTTTTAAGTTTGTTTTTTTTAAATAAAACCTTTCTAGTCACTGCCATTTTGAAGTGTTTTTCCTAGGGAAATGGTCTGTAACTTTTTTATTCCTTGGAAGTATTTGATGACATTTGAATCCCTTCCTAATTTTATGTCAGTAGGTTCAAGTTTTCATATTAATTGGTTCTGGGTTGGTTTGATTTGTGTCAGAACAGTCTTTCCTATTTGAGAAAATGCCTCCCCGGCCCCAAGATTTCCTGTTTTCTGTGGCAATAGTTATCAAACAACATACAACATGGTGGAAATTGCTACTAAGAAATAAGAATTTTTTCAGAAGGATTTTATGGAAATGGCAACTTAATACGGAAAGGAAGTAGATGTTTTCACCATTCCCCTCTTCATAATTTCTTCAGCAATGTGTATAAAAATTGTTTACATCACAGATGTGTCCATAGCTATAAAACCTCCAGAGTTTAAAAAGAAGAACCAGGAAGGTTTGATGAATGAAAAACAATTAGAGGGGTTTTGTTCATTTATTGATCCAGGAGGAAATGAGAACTGATAAGACTTTTGGTGAGTCTGTGAGGCCTTTCTGTAGCAAAGGTAATAAAAATAATGAATAATATAGAGGAGGCTCTAGCTAAAAAACTTGCAAACTGGTGTCTTTGTATATAGCTTACACTGGACCTGATATATAAAAATCTCCCAATGTGATTTTTAAAATAACTTTTGAAAATGCATAGGACTGAGATTTCTATGGGAAACAGACTGGGTATGTATGTGTTTGTTTCCTATACTTTTTAGTACAGGGAATTATCTAGGAGCAGATGACTGTACAAGGAGCATACATGGAAGGAAGGATCATGGGGAATTTGTATTTCCATTAGCTTTTGGGACAAAGCCACAGTAGAGTTTATTCAGCCATACTGCAATTGTTTCTTTTGTATAATATTAATATAAAGAGAGGGGAACTGAATGAGTACAAGAACTGAAAAGCAGTAGCTCTAGGTAGGATCAGAAGTAAGAATACAGGTAGTCCTTGAGTTACAATGGCAATTGGGATGCAGTCATAAAGGGTGACATCATGCAACCACATCACTTAGCGATGGCAATCCATGCTGTCCTGATTGCCATTGTAACCCCAAGTGGGAAGTGCCACGGGTGTGGGGGAGGCCCTGGGAGCCCCAGCGCAGGCCGCACACAAGTTAGGGGAGGGGGCTGCTGCGAGTGCATGCATGTGAGTGCATGCATGCGAATGCAGGGACGTCCAGGGAAGGAGGGCATGGCGTGGTGCACAGGAAAGTGGGAAGTGGGACTTAGTGGAGCAACTTGTGACCTTCTCTGCCAGCTTCCCTATTGATTTTGCTTGTGGTAAGCCGCCAAGGAAGGTCACAAATGGGGATCATGTGACCATGGGATGCTGCAACCATTGTAACCGTGAGCTGGTTGCCAAGCACCCAAATCATGATTATGTGACTGTGGGGGTGCTGCAACTGCCGGAACTTCAAGGACCAGTTGTACGTACCCCTCATTCAGGACTATTGCAATTTTGAATGGTCGCTGAACGAGTGGTCAGTAAGCGAGGACTACCTGTATGTGGAAGGGTAGAGGTAGGGTAGAAGTAGCCAAATAAACACAAGGCAGGACTGTTTCTCATTTTTGGAACAGCTAGACCAGGGTTTTTCAGACTGTGTTCTACAGAACCCTAGGATTCCATGAGAAGTTGATGGAGTTCCACTGCAGACAGTGAATGTTTTATCACTACAGCTTTGCCTCTTGATCAGGGAATCTGCGTTTGTTTGTTTTTTAAAAAAAAACAGGTTCTGTGACCTGAAAAAGTTTGAAAACCCCTGAGCTAGACTATATGTGTAGGAAGCCTGTGAGCTTCTCCCATTATATCCTTCACAGAATTCAACAGATGAAGGAGTGCCATAGTAGCATCACCAGGAATCATCAAAGTGGTTTACTTATCCATCAGTCTTCTGTGAGGTTATTCTACCATTCAAGATAACCAAGGAGAGTCATTATGTTCTAAATTTTCTTCTCCTTTTCCTCACAGATGAAGAAACTAGCAAGGCGACAACAACAGCAACAGCAAGATCAGCAAAACACACAAAGATTCACTGCAGGTAAGATCTGACCTCTAACTTTCTTTTGACATGGAAACTCTCCCTCCTGAAAACGCACCACCTGCTGCCATTCTGAAAGTAAGATGTGTATTCTTTACCTTTTCTTTAAAGTACAGTGGTTATTAAGCAAGAAAGGGGAATATATTCCAACCATTCCTCCTTACAAGTTCAGGTTTTTTATATATTTTATTACGGTGGTGATTAATCTATTTCAGCCCAAAGCCTAAACGAGTTCCAGACAACTACATTGGAGCTCCAGACAACCAGGAGGACAGTTCTAGGCTGAAATTGTGCTATTATAAATGAATGAATGAATGAATGAATGAATGAATGAATGAATGAATGAATGAATGAATGAATGAATAAAAATAGCTATACTATTGTGGATATGCCACCCTGGAAATACATGTCCAGAAATATACACTCCCTTTACACATTTACCTCCATTCTCTTGTTTTCTCTTTCATGCACACACAAATACATACACAATTTGCAAAATCCTCTCCTTGCTTGGCAATTTATTTGTTTATTCATTAGATTTATGTTTTGTCTTTCCTTCAGGAGTTCAAGGCAGTACACATAGTAATCCCTCCTCCTATTTTTCCTCACAATGACAGATTAGGACTTAAAAGTCTTCATGAATTCAATAAAGGTTATTTTAAAACTTTACGATGGAAATTCCCAGATTTCCAATTTGGTGTCCTGATGGAGTACAGGGGTTTATGAGAGGAAGGCAGAGTTTAGGGAGAAGGGAAGATACAGCACCTTATAGAGGGACATGGATTAACAAGAATCTGGTTGTATAGATGGGACCCTTGGAGACTATATTCAAATTGGCAGCCAGCAGTGTTACTGTTGCTTCATTGGATCAGACCTTGCCATGAAAACTGCAGGGACTTGTCCAGGCAGTCAAGAGGGGTCAACACTGATTTGAAGGCACAAAAATAAAATAAAATAATTGGATCAGAAGGCAGGTGGTGGGTATCAGGATCCATCAGGATAGCACCAGCTGCTGATGGTCAGAGGAATAGTTCTTGTTTCCAGAGGATTTTCTCCCCTTCATTGAAAGCCATAAAAAGATGATATAAGCCAGGATACTCATTCTCTTCCTCTTCCACCATCTTGTTATTTATTCCAGGCATCATGCAAGATTCAGTTCTTGGGAACCATGTTTGTCATTGTTATACCTGGAAAAACTAATTTCTTGAGTTGGGGAGGTTATTAGATGATCTGAGGACCATAACATTTCATGTCCTTCACCTCAATTTTTAGGGTCTGTAATTTGTTATATCTACCTAAGAAGCCACATATTACAGTAGGATTGGGAGATATGGTTAATCTGAACTTGAACATGTGGAAGATGGAAAATCTGTCATCCATTTTTTAATATCATGGCTGCTGGATCTGAGTGCAGAACTCCAGTTGATCACTAAATGGTAGCAAAGACATATTAAAAACTCTAATTTGTTGCTGACATCTAGGGGTCATCTGGAGTTGTGCAGACAAGATCTGTTGGGGCTACAGATATTGTACTAGAACTGGCCCAGATACATAGGTTGGGAAAGTCTAATGACTGAATTTCCAGAAAATTTATAAGATGAACTCTTACATATGAGAACCAGTTTGGTGCTGGGCTAGAAACCAAGGGCTAAGGTGCTGGGCTAGAAACCAAGATGTGGTGAGTTCTAGTCCTCCCATAGGTATGAAAGCTGGCTGAGTGACTTTGGGCCAGTCACCCTCTCTCAGCCCAACTCACCTCACAGGATTGTTGTTGTGTGGAAAACAGGAAGTGGGAATATTAGGTATGTACATCAACTTCTGTTGACCAAAATTAAGGGTGGGATAAAAAATAAATACCTTTCATTCTTCC